TATATATATCCTTCTGCCATTCCCATCTTTTGAACTTTTTTTTTTTTTTAACACAATGTGCATGATCTACGCCAGAGGGATAAGTACAGGCACTGAAGTGCAGGTTGGTTAAAGTACAGCAATCTGTTTGACTGTGAAAACTGTTGCTCTCCTGCTTAATCAGTCACTGTGGTTCACTAAAAATGTATAGTTTCCAAAATGCAGTGATTGACATATATTTGTTTTGGTTTTGACCAGTGTAAAAACAGTAAGGGAGATAGCTCAGTAATCTAAACGTCTGCCTGGCAAGCTCAACCCAGGTTCAATCCCTGGCAGCACATGCCATGCTGGCCCTGAACTGTGCCAACCACTGAAATAGGGCATGGTGGTGCATGCCTGGAATCCCAGCGCTGGGAAGGCTGCGACAAGAGGATCACTATGAGTCCGAACTGTATAGCAAGACCCTGTACCAAATAAATACATAAATCTTTTTTAAAAGTGCAAATCATTAAAAAGAAACAGTAATTGGGACTTATGCCATCATAATATATTAGGCCATTACTTTTTAGACCATTTTTTTTTCTAAATAAATGTGACTATCTTAGGGAAAACAAATTAATTTGAATGATTCTCTGAAGATATATATGTTTTATACTCACTGTTCTGGTTATGTAGCATTAGTAGAAAACTCATATGGTTCTGATTTTTTATTTTATTTTTTATTTTTTTATTTTTATTTTTCAACAAATAAAACACTGCATATATTCTTCTTAGTGGTTAATTGCTGTACAAGATGCGGACTTGTGATCCTATTTACAAACACCATTAGAACAAATCATTCTATTCATTAACAGAATGTAACTATATATCCCAACCACTTTGAATACACAGATACAAAATGGACATTCATCTGTATACCCCATTTTTTCTAAGTTCCGTTATTGAATATTATAGGTGTATAAACTCAGCAAAATATTCTAAAAGAGTCCAGTAGCCCATAATAGCATTGGGTCTTCTGTTTAACTGGCAATGTCAGAAATTATTGACCTGAGTCCCCCACAGCTCAACTTAACAGCATGGCTTTATTTCTTATAATTTCGTCTTCATACTTTTCTGCTGGGTGGTTAAGACCAAGGTAAAGCAGGACCTATGCAACAAGAGTTGTAGCTTTTTGGTCTGAGAAGGTCAGTGAAATGCCCTCAGGATTTGTCCTGAGATCCTGTACCTCAGATTGTAGAACCTTTATCAGTGCAGCCATGTGGATGAGTCACGGCCAATGCTTGGCCAATGTGCTCTCTGGTTCTGATTTTTTAAAAATTAGCAAATGAATAATTAGTATATATCTTCTGGATACATTTGAGGTATTGTCATTTTCATAGTTTTATAGGCTTAGAATAACATCAATTTAGATATTATTAAAGACAGCAGACTTAGGGACAGCAAACTTATAGTTATTAACTTCATATCCTTGACCAAGCTACTGCGTTAAGCTTCAATTTCTTTACTAGTAGTATTTATTTAAAGCTTGATGCTTTAGGTGTGAATTCCACTTGGTACTGTTACAGAATTTCTTATTTATTTATTTATTTATTTATTTGGTACAGGGTCTTGCTACGCAGCTCAGACTCCTAGTGATCCTCTTGTCTCAGCGTCCCCACCACGCCCAAGTTTCAGTGGTTGGCTTGCTGCCCCAGTCAGCATGGCATGTGGTACTAGGGATCAAGCCCAGATCCTTGGACCTTGCAGGCACTTAGACTGCTGAGCTATCTCCCCAGCCCCTTTGTCTACTTGTTGAAGTTATTTGGTAAATCAATAAGATAAAGGAGTTTTACAAACAATAGCTGAAAAATGTATAAGTACTAGTTTATGGGCCATATTATATAATAACCTTATAAATTACTTCTCATTTGCAATAGTGTATCTTACAATCTTGCATATCTTATATCTAACTAGGAAAATTGTATGAAACTAATTAAAATGAGTTAGGGTTGTTTTTTTTTTTTTGTTTTTTTTTTTTTTGTAATGTAGCAGTTAATTAAGTTCTTAATAAGAAATTTAGAAGGCTAATTTATGAGAATAAATTCCATTTGTCAACAAAAGTGGATCACAGGTAGCCCCCAGAACGGAGGAACAGCTTTGATTTTTGCTAAAATGTTTGAGTCCTCCACTTTCAGATCCACCTTGCGCTGCTGTGAAATCTGGTATCTCTCTTTCTCAGTGTCAAAGATCTCGCCCTCCTGGTGTCTGGGTTTCTACAGCTTTTTCTCTTGAAGTAAGCATCAGTAAGATGTTTGGGGATTTTCACTTTGCTGATGTCAATTTTTGTAGAGGTAGCAATGACAGATTTCTGGTGTGTTCTTCATAGAGGAACACGATTAAGGCTAAGAGGCCCAGTCACAAGTAGCAAGCCACTGGCCAACTGCTTTAGGAAGACCACTCTTGCCTCTGTGACGCCCAGTGAGGATGATCAAGATGGTGCTGGGAGTGATGTTAGCTCGAAGGTTCCTCACATGCTGACTGAAGGGTTTCTTGCTGTGGCTAAAGAGCTTTCAGGGCACATCTTCTGTAGGGAAGTACGAAGGCATTTTTTGAAGCTTAACCACCCAGGTACCACTATTCTTGTCACCACTGACTGGTTTTGTGATCGTAGCAAGAACTTTTTCCTTCTTTTCTTCTCAACCTTTGATTTAGCAGTTGTGTGTTTTCTTTTGTACAAAGCCTTTCTGGAATACATAACATATCTATGAATTCCTCTAACCAGGACAAGATTTCAGCTGCAACGGGGCTGTCCCTTTTTGAACTTTTTTGCCTTCACCTTACCCTTTTTACCAGTACCACTGGCAGCAGCTTTCTTGGCTTCAGGTTTCTTCTCTTTAGTGTCAGGCTTCTCAGGTTTTTTGCCCACCGTCTTGCAAGATGGGAAAGAGAACTAAGTTTCCAACTTCTGGTCTATCAGCCATACGTTCCTTTTTTTTAAAAAAAAAAAAAAAAAAAGCAATGATAGCATTCTTTTTTCTTTCTTTTTTTTTTTTGCTTTGAGGGTTTGATTTTCTCTCTTGCTACCTATCTGCCATCACTTTAGGTCTCTCTAGAGTTAATCTGGTATCAATCTATCCATTTTTCTCTGCCTGTATAATCAGGTGTATATATACATTGGAAATTTGGGGTATTATCATTCTATAGAAATGTAATTCACATAATCAGATTATTTGCAGTTTACTTTTCTGAGTAGGTAGTAGATATCCTCCAATTGAACTG